TTTTTTTAATATATTTAATGTTTTCTAATTTATGTTTAGGCATCAACTATATTCTCTTTTATTCTCTACGTATAATTTTCATTAGTTTTCTATTCAATATTTAGATATTTTGCTAAATTTTATTATATTATGGATTAAACTTCAATTCTGCAATTTTCAACTAATTTTCTATTCATTGATATACCCAAACTTCTTTTCCTTTTCAATTCAGTTATATTCCCAAATTTTTAGCTCGGCATTCTCTACTCACCTCGATCGACGATCTTGCCAAAGAGATTCTTGCCGCGCAGAAAGTTGCGCGTGGAGCAGTTCCAGCGACGATTGCGGAACTGATGCTGGCACTCGCTGATGGCCAGATTGGCGCCCTTGACCAGGGCGCCCAGCACGCCAGGATTGTCGCGGACGAGCCGGCGCTGCTTGCGGCGCAGTGTTGAGTGAATGGCGGGATCCATGTACATGATGCTGGTGCTGATGGGTGAAATGTTGTTCGGTTCGCCGACCTTGGCAATGCCCCTAAAACAGGTGAAGGAAAGTGAACATCAATATTAATACCGAACTCACACGTAGAAAAATTGAGAGGGAGAGGATAGGGCGAGAGGGCAGTTTGGGGGGCGTGTCACGCACTATTTAATGCTTCACTTGCTTTTTGCGCCTAATTACAAGCGGAAATCTCGAGCACCTGGACACGCAAGGCAGCCGAAAAAAGGCCACAAAGACGACGGCTCAATATTTTTTTTTTTTTCATTATGTTACTATTTGTATGCGTATTTGTTTTTCTACTATACATATGTGTGTGTTTGTGTGTGTATGTTTTTTTTGGCATTATGTTTATTTCCACTTGACTTGAGTTAAGTTGTTGTTATTATTCTTGGTTTTTCACTTGCGGCTTTTCCTTTTTTTAAGCACGTCAATTGCCGGCGTTACTCATGCATGCACCACACACACACATATACATGCACACAAAAACCCCATACACTGACAAATATTTGATGACACTTGTCGGCACTCGCTTCCATTTGCTGTCATCTTTATTTTGTATTTGGTATTTTTATTTATTTTTAATTTTTTTTAATTTTTT